ATATTTTTTAAAAAAAAATTATTAAATAAAAATTGTTTAAAATGCAATTTATATATATTTTGCTATAATTATTTTAATTTATATAATAAAGAAATAAAAATATTATTTATATTTTATATATTTATATTTATATATATAAATATATATTTATTCATTAAATATTTTATATTTTAATATTTTTTTTTATTTTTTAATCAAGAATTTCGATTTATTATTAAATTACATTTTAAAAATATAAGATTTTAATGTAATAAAATTAGTCTAATAACAATTTTTTCTAATAAACTAAATAATTTTTTTTTATTTTTTATATTTTTATTAAATTATTATTTTAGAGTTTGTTTTTAAAAAAATTCAATATATATATTAACTAATTCTTTTATATCAATTTTATTTAAGTAAAAATAGAATTAAAAAATCAAATACTTAGAATCCTTTATAGATTTTTTTTGCACTTTAGTTTTAACAGTATTTATTTTTATTTATATTTAATTTTTATTTTTGTTAACAAGGCATTAGAATTATTGATATTTTTACAGGTTTAGAATAATTTACTTATTTTACTTAATTATATATTTCAGAAAAAAATACTTTATAAATAAATGGGCTTGATAATTTAATTAATTTAATATTATTAGAATAATTAAATAACAAAAATAATTATTTATATAATATAAATAAATTATAAAAACATTAAGAAATATAGATATGTATTTATAAAATCTAAAATTTTGATGATTTAAATATCTTAAGTTAAAATTAATAAATAGAAACATTAATATGCATAAATTAATTATTATTAAATTTATTATTTTAAATTAAAAAGGTATATAATTATAGGAAAAACAAATTGCAATATTTCTTTCTTATTGATAAAAACTAATTGAGGTTTTACTTAATATTAAATAAATTGATAGTATATTATTAAATGTTTAATATAATTTTAAAAAATCAATTATAATAATAAATATTCAAATTTCATTTAAAATAATATAATAAACAATTCATTTATTCAAAAAAGAATTATATATTTTATTTAATTATATAGTATAAAATAATTAAATATTTTTTTCTATTTTATTTTAATAAAAGAAATAATTTAAAATTAATCTTTTATAATAATATTAAAAATCATATATTTATATGATTTTTATATTTAATATTAGTAAATTTGTTTTCAATATATAATATTTGAAATTTTTATAAAAATAAATTTAACAATTTAGCAATTTTTATTTTTCCTTAACAGAAACTCTAGGCTGTCTATCTACGAAGAATTTGACATTGGAATTTTTGTCTCCAAGTAAGCTATATATTCATATGCATTCCTTAACGCGAAGACTTTTTTTCTTCACTTTACCTATGAACATATGATCCTCAACATATTATTTATTATGAAGTCATGGTAAGGAGCACTTCGGATCTTTTGATAGGTTATTTGACTAAAAAAAAGGTCTAGGAAAAGCATAAAACAGGAACATCTCCCCCTGGAATCTTGAAATCCATCATGGCTCGATCATTGACCCTACTAGGTTATATTATATTAGTTATATATGTATTAGATGCATATGATAATAAAAGGGTATTATCCATAATAAAATAATTATTAAATAAATTTAATAAAAAAATGATAAATTAAAATTAAATAAAAATAATATAAAATTATATAGTATATTAAAATTTATTGAAGAATAATTTTTATTAAAATTAATTTAAATGTTTAAAATTAAAAAATAAATAATAGATATTTATAAATCTATATTTATAAAATTGTTTGTAGAAAAATTAAAATAATTATAGTTATATTTATAATTAATTATAATTATATTTATATTTATAAAAGATAAAAATAATCAAAATGGATTCAAAACAAGTATTAGCTAATATATTACGAAGTTTACTCTCTAATTATACTTAAAACTAAATCAAAATTAAAATCTGGTGTATTCAACTATTTCTATTTATATAGTATTATCGATTACAGCTTTAGGAGCAAAAAAATAAATCTTTAGATGAATTTAAATAGCTTTTAAATTTCAATAAATAAAAAGATTTATGGTCTAAATTATCTTAATTATCTTATAAACTTAATACAAAAAGTAACAAAAATAATAAAAAATATAAAATATATTTATATTTATATTTATATTTATATATATTTATATTTATATTTATATTTATATTTATATTTATATTTATATTTATAAAATATAGATGATGGTATTAAATCTATAGTATGCAATAAAATTTACTAAGGCCTTGAATTAGCCTAAACATATAAATAATTATATGAAAAGCATTTCCCTGAAATAT